TTATGGTGGCTGGTGGTAGTTATGGTGTGGCTGGCGGTAGTTATGGTGTGACTGGTGGTAGTTATGGTGGCTGGCGGTAGTTATGGTGTGGCTGGCGGTAGTTATGGTGTGGCTGGTGGTAGTTATGGTGGCTGGTGGTAGTTATGGTGTGGCTGGCGGTAGTTATGGTGTGACTGGTGGTAGTTATGGTGGCTGGTGGTAGTTATGGTGTGGCTGGCGGTAGTTATGGTGTGGCTGGCGGTAGTTATGGTGTGACTGGTGGTAGTTATGGTGGCTGGTGGTAGTTATGGTGTGGCTGGCGGTAGTTATGGTGGCTGGTGGTAGTTATGGTGTGGCTGGTGGTAGTTATGGTGTGGCTGGTGGTAGTTATGGTGGCTGGTGGTAGTTATGGTGGCTGGTGGTAGTTATGGTGTGGCTGGTGGTAGTTATGGTGGCTGGTGGTAGTTATGGTGGCTGGTGGTAGTTATGGTGTGGCTGGTGGTAGTTATGGTGTGGCTGGTGGTAGTTATGGTGTGGCTGGTGGTAGTTATGGTGTGGCTGGCGGTAGTTATGGTGTGGCTGGTGGTAGTTATGGTGTGGCTGGTGGTAGTTATGGTGTGGCTGGTGGTAGTTATGGTGTGGCTGGTGGTAGTTATGGTGTGGCGGTAGTTATGGTGTGGCTGGTGGTAGTTATGGTGTGGCTGGTGGTAGTTATGGTGTGGCTGGTGGTAGTTATGGTGGTGGCTGGTGGTAGTTATGGTGGCTGGCGGTAGTTATGGTGTGGCTGGTGGTAGTTATGGTGTGGCTGGTGGTAGTTATGGTGTGGCTGGTGGTAGTTATGGTGTGGCTGGTGGTAGTTATGGTGTGGCTGGTGGTAGTTATGGTGTGGCTGGTGGTAGTTATGGTGGCTGGTGGTAGTTATGGTGTGGCTGGTGGTAGTTATGGTGGCTGGTGGTAGTTATGGTGTGGCTGGTGGTAGTTATGTGGTGGCTGGTGGTAGTTATGGTGGCTGGTGGTAGTTATGGTGTGGCTGGTGGTAGTTATGGTGTGGCTGGTGGTAGTTATGGTGGCTGGTGGTAGTTATGGTGGCTGGTGGTAGTTATGGTGTGGCTGGTGGTAGTTATGGTGTGGCTGGTGGTAGTTATGGTGTGGCTGGTGGTAGTTATGGTGTGGCTGGTGGTAGTTATGGTGGCTGGTGGTAGTTATGGTGGCTGGTGGTAGTTATGGTGTGGCTGGTGGTAGTTATGGTGGCTGGTGGTAGTTATGGTGTGGTTGGTGGTAGTTATGGTGTGGCTGGTGGTAGTTATGGTGTGGCTGGTGGTAGTTATGGTGTGGCTGGTGGTAGTTATGGTGCCTGGTGGTAGTTATGGTGTGGCTGGTGGTAGTTATGGTGGCTGGCGGTAGTTATGGTGTGGCTGGTGGTAGTTATGGTGTGGCTGGTGGTAGTTATGGTGTGGCTGGTGGTAGTTATGGTGGCTGGTGGTAGTTATGGTGTGGCTGGTGGTAGTTATGGTGGCTGGCGGTAGTTATGGTGTGGCTGGTGGTAGTTATGGTGTGGCTGGTGGTAGTTATGGTGTGGCTGGTGGTAGTTATGGTGGCTGGTGGTAGTTATGGTGTGGCTGGTGGTAGTTATGGTGGCTGGTGGTAGTTATGGTGTGAGTGGTGGTAGTTATGGTGTGGCTGGTGGTAGTTATGGTGTGGCTGGTGGTAGTTATGGTGTGGCTGGTGGTAGTTATGGTGTGAGTGGTGGTAGTTATGGTGTGGCTGGTGGTAGTTATGGTGGCTGGTGGTAGTTATGGTGTGGCTGGTGGTAGTTATGGTGGCTGGTGGTAGTTATGGTGTGGTTGGTGGTAGTTATGGTGTGGCTGGTGGTAGTTATGGTGGCTGGTGGTAGTTATGGTGTGGCTGGCGGTAGTTATTAAAACTACCCAAAAGCTTGCATGGCAATATTCACGTGACTGGCAACAGTGCAGACCCAACTGCCGCCAGACTCAATGGATTCACTTTATCTGTTTGCAACATTATAATGTTTCACTCTCCACGTCCACCGTGACCACGGCCTTACACAACATGACACGGCCTTACATAACATGACACGGCCTTACACAACATGACACGGCCTCACACAACATGACACGGCCTTACACAACATGACACGGCCTTACACAACATGACACGGCCTCACACAACATGACACGGCCTCACACAACATGACACGGCCTTACACAACATGACACGGCCTTACACAACATGACACGGCTTCACACAACATGACACGGCCTCACACAACATGACACGGCCTCACACAACATGACACGGCCTTACACAACATGATACGGCCTCACACAACATGACATGGCCTTACACAACATGACACGGCCTCACACAACATGACACGTCCTTACACAACATGACACGGCCTTACACAACATGACACTGCCTTACACAACATGACACGGCCTTACACAACATGACACGGCCTTACACAACATGACACGGCCTCACACAACATGACACGGCCTTACACAACATGACACGGCCTCACACAACATGACACGTCCTTACACAACATGCCTTACACACGCCTTACACAACATGTCACGGCCTTACACAACATGACACTGCCTTACACAACATGACACGGCCTTACACAACATGACACGGCCTTACACAACATGACACGGCCTCACACAACATGACACGGCCTTACACAACATGACACGGCCTCACACAACATGACACGGCCTTACACAACATGACACGGACTTACACAACATGACACGGCCTTACACAACATGACACGGCCTTACACAACATGACACGGCCTTACACAACATGACACGGCCTTACACAACATGACACGGCCTCACACAACATGACACGGCCTTGCACAACATGACACGGCCTTACACAACATGACACGGCCTTACACAACATGGCACGGCCTTACACAACATGACACGGCCTTACACAACATGACACGGCCTTACACAACATGACACGGCCTTACACAACATGACACGGCCTTACACAACATGACACGGCCTTACACAACATGACACTGCCTTACACAACATGACACGGCCTTACACAACATGACACGGCCTTACACAACATGACACTGCCTTACACAACATGACACGGCTTTACACAACATGACACGGCCTTACACAACATTACACGGCCTTACACAACATGACACAGCCTTACATGACACGGCCTTACACAACATGACACGGCCTTACACAACATGACACGGCCTTACACAACATGACACGGCCTTACACAACATGGCACGGCCTTACACAACATGACACGGCTATACACATGACACGGCTTTACACATCATGACACGTCCTTACACAACATGACACGGCGTTACACAACAGGACACGGCCTTACACAACATGACACGGCCTTACACAACATGACACGGCCTTACACAACATGGCACGGCCTTACACAACATGACACGGCCTTACACAAAATGACACGGCCTTACACAACATGACACGGCCTTACACAACATGACACGGCCTTACACAACATGACACGGCCTTACACAACATGACATGGCCTTACACAACATGACACGGCCTTACACAACATGACACGGCTTTACACAACATGACACGGCCTTACACAACATGACACGGCTTTACACATGACACGGCTTTACACATGACACGGCTTTACACAACATAACACGGCTTTACACAACATGACACGGCCTCACACAACATGACACGGCTTTACACAACATGACACGGCCTCACACAACATGACACGGCTTTACACACCATGACACTGCCTTACACACCATGACACTGCCTTACACACCATGACACGGCCTTACACAACATGACACGGCTTTACACAACATGACACGGCCTTACACAACATGACACGGCCTTACACAACATGACACGGCTTTACACAACATGACACGGCCTTACACAACATGACACGGCCTTACACAACATGACACGGCCTTACACAACATGACACGGCTTTACACAACATGACACGGCTTTACACAACATGACACGGCTTTACACAACATGACACGGCCTTACACAACATGACACGGCCTTACACAACATGACACGGCCTTACACAACATGACACGGCTTTACACAACATGACACGGCTTTACACAACATGACACGGCTTTACACAACATGACACGGCCTTACACAACATGACACGGCTTTACACAACATGACACGGCCTTACACAACATGACACGGCCTTACACAACATGACACGGCCTTACACAACATGACACGGCCTTACACAACATGACACGGCTTTACACAACATGACACGGCTTTACACAACATGACACGGCCTTACACAACATGACACGACTTTACACAACATGACACGGCTTTACACAACATGACACGGCCTTACACAACATGACACGGCCTCACACAACATGACACGGCTTTACACAACATGACACGGGTTTACACATGACACGGCTTTACACAACATGGCACGGCCTTACACAACATGACACGGCCTCACACAACATGACACGGCTTTACACAACATGACACGGCCTTACACAACATGACACGGCTTTACACAACATGACACGGCTTTACACAACATGACACGGCCTTACACAACATGACACGGCCTCACACAACATGACACAGCTTTACGCAACATGACACGGGTTTACACATGACACGGCTTTACACAACATGGCACGGCCTTACACAACATGACACGGCCTCACACAACATGACACGGCTTTACACAACATGACACGGCCTTACACAACATGACACGGCTTTACACAACATGACACAACCTGCACAACCAGCGGCCTGCACGGCCAGCGGCCCTGCACGACCAGCGGCCCTGCACGACCAGCGGCCCTGCACGACCAGCGGCCTGCACAACCAGCGGCCCTGCACGGCCAGCGGCCCTGCACGACCAGCGGCCCTGCACGACCAGCGGCCTGCACGACCAGCGGCCCTGCATGACCAGCGGCCCTGCACGACCAGCGGCCCTGCACGACCAGCGGCCCTGCACGACCAGCGGCCCTGCACGACCAGCGGCCCTGCACGACCAGCGACCTGCACGACCAGCGGCCTGCACGACCAGCGGCCTGCACGACCAGCGGCCTGCACGACCAGCGGCCCTGCACAACCAGCGGCCTTCACGGCCAGCGGCCCTGCACGGCCAGCGGCCCTGCACGACCAGCGTCCTGCACGACCAGCGGCCCTGCACGACCAGCGGCCCTGCACGGCCAGCGGCCCTGCACAACTAGCGGCCCTGCACGGCCAGCGGCCCTGCACGGCCAGCGGCCCTGCACGGCCAGCGGCCCTGCACGGCCAGCGGCCCTGCACGACCAGCTGCCCTGCACGACCAGCGGCCCTGCACAACCAGCGGCCCTGCACGACCAGCGGCCCTGCACGACCAGCGGCCCTGCACGACAAGCGGCCCTGCACAACCAGCGGCCCTGCACAGCCAGCGGCCCTGCACAGCCAGCGGCCCTGCACGACCAGCGGCCCTGCACGGCCAGCGGCCCTGCACGACCAGCGGCCCTGCACGACCAGCGGCCCTGCACGACCAACGGCCCTGCACGGCCAGCGGCCCTGCACGACCAGCGGCCCTGCACGACCAGCGGCCCTGCACAACCAGCGGCCCTGCACGACCAGCGGCCCTGCACGACCAGCGGCCCTGCACGACCAGCGGCCCTGCACGACAAGCGGCCGTGCACGACCAGCGGCCCTGCACGACCAGCGGCCCTGCACGACCAGCGGCAATGCACGACCAGCGGCCCTGCACGGCCAGCGGCCCTGCACGACCAGCGGCCCTGCACGACCAGCGGCCCTGCACGACAAGCGGCCCTGCACAACCAGCGGCCCTGCACGACCAGCGGCCCTGCACGACCAGCGGCCCTGCACGACCAGCGGCCCTGCACGGCCAGCGGCCCTGCACGACCAGCGGCCCTGCACGACCAGCGGCCCTGCACGGCCAGCGGCCTGCACGGCCAGCGGCCCTGCACGACCAGCGGCCCTGCACGACCAGCGGCCCTGCACAATCAGCAGCCCTGCACGACCAGCAGCCTGCACGACCAGCGGCCTGCACGACCAGCGGCCTGCACGACTAGCGGCCCTGCACGACCAGCGGCCCTGCACAACCAGCGGCCTGCACGACAAGCGGCCTGCACGGCCAGCGGCCAGCACGGCCAGCGGCCCTGCACGACCAGCGGCCCTGCACGGCCAGCGGACCTGCACGACAAGCGGCCCTGCACGGCCAGCGGCCCTGCACGACCAGCGGACCTGCACGACCAGCGGCCCTGCACGGCCAGCGGCCCTGCACAACCAGCGGCCTGCACGATCAGCGGCCTGCACGACAAGCGGCCTGCACGGCCAGCGGCGTGCACGGGCAGCGGCCCTGCACGGCTAGCGGCCCTGCACGGCCAGCGGCCCTGCACGGCCAGCGGCCCTGCACGGCCAGCGGCCCTGCACGGCCAGCGGCCCTGCACGGCCAGCGGCCTGCACGGCCAGCGGCCCTGCACGGCCAGCGGCCGTGCACAACCAGCGGCCTGCACGATCAGCGGCCTGCACGACAAACGGCCAGCACGGCCAGCACGGCCAGCGGCCAGCACGGCCAGCGGCCAGCACGGCCAGCGGCCTGCACAACCAGCGGCACGCACGGCCAGCGGCCTGCACAACCAGCGGCCCTGCACGACCAGCGGCCCTGCACGACCAGCGGCCCTGCACAACCAGCGCCATTGCACGACCAGCGGCCCTGCACAACCAGCGGCTCTGCACGACCAGCGGCCCTGCACGACCAGCGGCCCTGCACGACAAGCGGGCCCTGCACGACCAGCAGCCTGCACGGCCAGCGGCCTGCACGGCCAGCGGCCCTGCACGACCAGCGGCCTGCACGACCAGCGGCCTGCACGACCAGCGGCCTGCACGACCAGCGGCCTGCACGGCCAGCAGCCCTGCACGACCAACGGCCCTGCACGACCAGCGGCCTTGCACGGCCAGCGGACCTGCACGACAAGCGGTCCTGCACAACCAGCGGCCAGCACGACAAGCGGCCCTGCACGGCCAGCGGCCTGCACGACAAGCGGCCCTGCACGGCCAGCGGCCTGCACGGCCTAGTCCTCGTGGCGCCTCGCCTGGCTGCTGCGAGGCTTCTTCTGTTGGACTCGGGAAATATCCCGAGTCTTGGCTGTCTTGGGCTCCAGCATGCTCAGTCTTGGCTGTCTTGGGCTCCAGCATGCTCAGTCTTGGCTGTCTTGGGCTCCAGCATGCTCAGTCTTGGCTGTCTTGGGCTCCAGCATGCTCAGTCTTGGCTGTCTTGGGCTCCAGCATGCTCAGGCTTGGCTGTCTTGGGCTCCAGCATGCTCAGGCTTGGCTGTCTTGGGCTCCAGCATGCTCAGGCTTGGCTGTCTTGGGCTCCAGCATGCTCAGGCTTGGCTGTCTTGGGCTCCAGCATGCTCAGGCTTGGCTGTCTTGGGCTCCAGCATGTTCAGGCTTGGCTGTCTTGGGCTCCAGCATGCTCAGGCTTGGCTGTCTTGGGCTCCAGCATGCTCAGGCTTGGCTGTCTTGGGCTCCAGCATGCTCAGTCTTGACTGTCTTGGGCTCCAGCATGCTCAGTCTTGACTGTCTTGGGCTCCAGCATGCTCAGTCTTGACTGTCTTGGGCTCCAGCATGCTCAGTCTTGGCTGTCTTGGGCTCCAGCATGCTCAGTCTTGGCTGTCTTGGGCTCCAGCATGCTCAGGCTTGGCTGTCTTGGGCTCCAGCATGCTCAGGCTTGGCTGTCTTGGGCTCCAGCATGCTCAGGCTTGGCTGTCTTGGGCTCCAGCATGCTCAGGCTTGGCTGTCTTGGGCTCCAGCATGCTCAGGCTTGGCTGTCTTGGGCTCCAGCATGCTCAGGCTTGGCTGTCTTGGGCTCCAGCATGCTCAGGCTTGGCTGTCTTGGGCTCCAGCATGCTCAGGCTTGGCTGTCTTGGGCTCCAGCATGCTCAGGCTTGGCTGTCTTGGGCTCCAGCATGCTCAGGCTTGGCTGTCTTGGGCTCCAGCATGCTCAGGCTTGGCTGTCTTGGGCTCCAGCATGCTCAGGCTTGGCTGTCTTGGGCTCCAGCATGCTCAGGCTTGACTGTCATGGGCTCCAGCATGCTCAGGCTTGGCTGTCTTGGGCTCCAGCATGCTCAGGCTTGGCTGTCTTGGGCTCCAGCATGCTCAGGCTTGGCTGTCTTGGGCTCCAGCATGCTCAGGCTTGGCTGTCTTGGGCTCCAGCATGCTCAGGCTTGACTGTCTTGGGCTCCAGCATGCTCAGTCTTGACTGTCTTGGGCTCCAGCATGCTCAGTCTTGACTGTCTTGGGCTCCTGCATGCTCAGTCTTGACTGTCTTGGGCTCCAGCATGCTCAGTCTTGACTGTCTTGGGCTCCAGCATGCTCAGTCTTGGCTGTCTTGGGCTCCAGCATGCTCAGGCTTGGCTGTCTTGGGCTCCAGCATGCTCAGGCTTGGCTGTCTTGGGCTCCAGCATGCTCAAGCTTGGCTGTCTTGGGCTCCAGCTTGCTCAGGCTTGGCTGTCTTGGGCTCCAGCATGCTCAGGCTTGGCTGTCTTGGGCTCCAGCATGCTCAGGCTTGGCTGTCTTGGGCTCCAGCATGCTCAGGCTTGGCTGTCTTGGGCTCCAGCATGCTCAGGCTTGGCTGTCTTGGGCTCCAGCATGCTCAGGCTTGGCTGTCTTGGGCTCCAGCATGCTCAGGCTTGGCTGTCTTGGGCTCCAGCATGCTCAGGCTTGGCTGTCTTGGGCTCCAGCATGCTCAGGCTTGGCTGTCTTGGGCTCCAGCATGCTCAGGCTTGGCTGTCTTGGGCTCCAGCATGCTCAGGCTTGGCTGTCTTGGGCTCCAGCAGCATGCTCAGGCTTGGCTGTCTTGGGCTCCAGCATGCTCAGGCTTGGCTGTCTTGGGCTCCAGCATGCTCAGGCTTGGCTGTCTTGGGCTCCAGCATGCTCAGGCTTGGCTGTCTTGGGCTCCAGCATGCTCAGCTGTCTTGGGCTCCAGCATGCTCTTGGGCTCCAGCATGCTCAGGCTTGGCTGTCTTGGGCTCCAGCATGCTCAGGCTTGGCTGTCTTGGGCTCCAGCATGCTCAGGCTTGGCTGTCTTGGGCTCCAGCATGCTCAGGCTTGGCTGTCTTGGGCTCCAGCATGCTCAGGCTTGGGCTCCAGCATGCTCAGGCTTGACTGTCTTGGGCTCCAGCATGCTCAGGCTTGACTGTCTTGGGCTCCAGCATGCCCAGGCTTGGCTGTCTTGGGCTCCAGCATGCTCAGGCTTGGCTGTCTTGGGCTCCAGCATGCTCTGTCTTGGGCTCCAGCATGCTCAGGCTTGACTGTCTTGGGCTCCAGCATGCTCAGGCTTGACTGTCTTGGGCTCCAGCATGCTCAGGCTTGGCTGTCTTGGGCTCCAGCATTCTCAGGCTTGGGCTCCAGCATGCTCAGGCTTGACTGTCTTGGGCTCCAGCATGCTCAGGCTTGACTGTCTTGGGCTCCAGCATGCCCAGGCTTGGCTGTCTTGGGCTCCAGCATGCTCAGGCTTGGCTGTCTTGGGCTCCAGCATGCTCAGGCTTGGGCTCCAGCATGCTCAGGCTTGACTGTCTTGGGCTCCAGCATGCTCAGGCTTGACTGTCTTGGGCTCCAGCATGCCCAGGCTTGGCTGTCTTAGACTCCAGCATGCTCAGGCTTGGCTGTCTTGGGCTCCAGCATGCTCAGGCTTGGCTGTCTTGGGCTCCAGCATGCTCAGGCTTGGCTGTCTTGGGCTCCAGCATGCTCAGGCTTGACTGTCTTGGGCTCCAGCATGCTCAGGCTTGGCTGTCTTGGGCTCCAGCATGCCCAGGCTTGGCTGTCTTGGGCTCCAGCATGCCCAGGCTTGACTGTCTTGGGCTCCAGCATGCTCAGGCTTGACTGTCTTGGGCTCCAGCATGCCCAGGCTTGGCTGTCTTGTGCTCCAGCTTGCCCAGGCTTGACTGTCTTGGGCTCCAGCATGCTCAGGCTTGGCTGTCTTGGGCTCCAGCATGCTCAGGCTTGGCTGTCTTGGGCTCCAGCATGCTCAGGCTTGGCTGTCTTGGACTCCAGCATGCTCAGGCTTGGCTGTCTTGGGCTCCAGCATGCTCAGGCTTGACTGTCTTGGGCTCCAGCATGCTCAGGCTTGGCTGTCTTGGGCTCCAGCATGCTCAGGCTTGGCTGTCTTGGGCTCCAGCATGCTCAGGCTTGGCTGTCTTGGGCTCCAGCATGCTCAGGCTTGACTGTCTTGGGCTCCAGCATGCCTCAGGCTTGGCTGTCTCGGGCTCCAGCATGCTCAGGCTTGGCTGTCTTGGGCTCCAGCATGCTCAGGCTTGGCTGTCTTGGGCTCCAGCATGCTCAGTCTTGGCTGTCTTGGGCTCCAGCATGCTCAGTCTTGGCTGTCTTGGGCTCCAGCATGCTCAGGCTTGGCTGTCTTGGGCTCCAGCATGCTCAGGCTTGGCTGTCTTGGGCTCCAGCATGCTCAGTCTTGACTGTCTTGGGCTCCAGCATGCTCAGGCTTGGCTGTCTTGGGCTCCAGCATGCTCAGGCTTGGCTGTCTTGGGCTCCAGCATGCTCAGGCTTGGCTGTCTTGGGCTCCAGCATGCTCAGGCTTGGCTGTCTTGGGCTCCAGCATGCTCAGGCTTGGCTGTCTTGGGCTCCAGCATGCTCAGGCTTGGCTGTCTTGGGCTCCAGCATGCTCAGGCTTGGCTGTCTTGGGCTCCAGCATGCTCAGGCTTGGCTGTCTTGGGCTCCAGCATGCTCAGGCTTGGCTGTCTTGGGCTCCAGCATGCTCAGGCTTGGCTCTCTTGGGCTCCAGCATGCTCAGGCTTGGCTGTCTTGGGCTCCAGCATGCTCAGTCTTGGCTGTCTTGGGCTCCAGCATGCTCAGGCTTGGCTGTCTTGGGCTCCAGCATGCTCAGGCTTGGCTGTCTTGGGCTCCAGCATGCTCAGTCTTGACTGTCTTGGGCTCCAGCATGCTTAGTCTTGACTGTCTCGGGCTCCAGCATGCTCAGGCTTGGCTGTCTTGGGCTCCAGCATGCTCAGGCTTGGCTGTCTTGGGCTCCAGCATGCTCAGGCTTGGCTGTCTTGGGCTTCAGCATGCTCAGGCTTGGCTGTCTTGGGCTCCAGCATGCTCAGGCTTGGCTGTCTTAGGCTCCAGCATGCTCAGTCTTGGCTGTCTTGGGCTCCAGCATGCTCAGTCTTGGCTGTCGTGGGCTCCAGCATGCTCAGGCTTGGCTGTCTTGGGCTCCAGCATGCTCATGCTTGGCTGTCTTGGGCTCCAGCATGCTCAGTCTTGACTGTCTTGGGCTCCAGCATGCTCAGGCTTGGCTGTCTTGGGCTCCAGCATGCTCAGGCTTGGCTGTCTTGGGCTCCAGCATGCTCAGGCTTGGCAATCTCCAATATCAACTCTCTCCTTCCCGACCGCTCCTGCAGGGATGGAGAGCCTCAGTCTTCAGCCGCGTCTGTTCCCTTCTCTTCCATCTCTTATTCTATCATACAAATCCTTCTTCTCATTTGCCATATTTGTCACCTCAGATCACCTCCTCCTCCTCCTCCTCCTTTACCCGCGCCTCCTCCTCCTCCTCCTCCTTTACCCGCGCCTCCTCCTCCTCCTCCTCCTCCTCCTCCTCCTTTACCCGCGCCTCCTCCTCCTCCTCCTCCTCCTGCTCCTCCTTTACCCGCGCCTCCTCCTCCTCCTCCTCCTCCTCCTCCTCCTTTACCCGCGCCTCCTCCTCCTCCTCCTCCTTCCTCTCCAACGAATATCCCACAATCTTGGTAACTTATCGTCCGGGAAAACTTCCTCTTTCGTCTTCTTTTCTTCATAAATTTTCCCCACAGTTTTGGAGGGTTGTCTTCAGCGGGACCTCATTTGCTTCTTTTCCCTCCCAAGTTTCCCCGCTTCTTGGTAACTTATAGCCACAGAAATTTTCTTGTCATTTGTCTTTGGACATTTTATTCATTTTACATTCTTTTCTAAGACATCAAATTGTAACTTTTTGCTAAGCCATTGTTAAAATATTGGATTCCGAGCTATGGCTATAGAATACTTTCTTATTCTGCCTCTCTAAACTTCCTACCATATTTGGACTCACC